TTTATCGACATTCGACAGTTATCGATAATTCCGCGATATCGGACCAACCTTATTTTAAGTCACGACTGGACTGGAAGATAAGGCATCACTTCGAACGAACTCGCCCCTCTCGCCTGTTTCACAATAAATAAGCGCGCGCGTCGCCATAAAGCCGACGTGCCCGCCGCCACATGTTCGGTGCGCATTATCGAGATTGAATCTTGCGATTCGCGCGTGGCTAGATTCCCTGGGCGGATCGCCGGAGAAAGTGTTCGAAACTTACCTGATAGGATTTCTTTTATGTGAGACGCTCGCAACCGAGCTGGTGGTTCACGATAACCGCCGCCCACGGACATTTGCCACACTCGTAGGGTTGCAGATGCGTTGCCACCTTTTAACAATGTCTATTAACAAAGTGGGCTCCGGTTAACTAATTCACTAGACGAAACGTAGCAGTGTTATAATAATGCATGCTCAACTTTTACTTTTTGTGTTTTATATGTATATGCGATTGCAACATTTAGACTGCTCTTTAAAAATCCACATATGACGTTACATCTAACGTAATATGTAGTAGTATGTAGTATGGTACCGAACTATGATCGGATGGTCTTCTACCGTAGTAGATGTTGGTACGTAAGTATGGTTCTTTATGTAGGTAGGTAAATAAGTATATAGGTTTACATAGGTTTTTGTACCCATTTCAATGGGTTAGCAATTTTTTTACAATAAGGCTTTACTCAAGTTTAATATATGCGTAATATATTTAAAAATGTAATATCTAGTTGTATTTAAAAATGTAATTTCAGTATTTGTAGATGAAAGCGGAAGTAAATGTTGGTTTTGCGATGGTAAAGAGATACAACTCGCCAAAATCAATTAGAAAAAGTTCAGCATTTCAAGTCGGTTTTCCCTTTTGTTAATATACAGATATAAAATACCATGCGGTGAACGAACTATGCATCCACGGTCGCGTTGGCTGGTGGCTCCTTGCCAAATGCTGGAATATCCCCGGGCCATATCGCCTATCAGCGACACCAGCGTACAAGTGTTATTGACGCTTCTGCGACCTTCCATTTTCCTAACAATCCTTCTGCGGAATCTTGGCGAGCGCTGCTTGAACTTAGGCTGTTGATTTTTGGATTGGAATTTCTAGCAACAAAAAACAAAACTGCTTTCAAATATCTCGCTCAAAGAATATACACATTTCATATTTAATTTTGGGTACTTTCCTGAATCTTCTCCTGAGCTCAAGATAAGGAGCAAACTAAACCGCATCATCTAATGCAATTATCATCAATCAATTAAATTGGCTCGTCATTTATGAAGTTAATTTCTAAGGTGACACAAAAATACACCTGAATTGAGAACCTCCTTCTTTTTTGTAGTCAGTTAAAAAGTAAAATCCGATACAGAGATCGGCTAGCAGATCGTACACTAATGCGCGTGAATACTATGTCAACTTTTTGTCACGTTTTTATCAGCCAGAAGTTTGGCCCCTAAATTGTAGAGAATAGTAAAAAATGTCATTATGATTTTTTTTGCTTTCCCATAACTACCTTAAAAAGAGTTCTTTATTTGGATGGCACATTACATATAGATACTTGGTATTTAATAGATGGTTAGTTTTTATTTGTAAAATTAATTTTGTATTTCATTAACTTTTTCAAGGTTTCTTTATTGGTCTTAACCATTCGAATGGTGTGTACTCTATAATATCTATAATTGGTTAATGTTATTTTTAATTATTTCTTTCTCTTCTAAAAGGGCAATAAAATTAAATCAATACAACACGTTATCTGATAACGTAATACAATTATTATGTATGACGTTTTCGTATCGGGCTTAGATGAATTATTTATACACATTTTATTAATTTAATAAAAAGCGGTCAACAGAGCTATATTGCATTAAATTTTTAACATTCGCTCCATCGCCTATACGTCGACTATTGAAAGTTATAATCGACGTTAGCTTGAGATATTATGCGTTGCTACTTAAAAAGAACGAACAACCACCGAACAATGTTCTTAAATAATTGGATTCAATTGCGACTTCACCTTATAAGATCATGTAGTAGTTTTTAGAATAATTAAGTGGTATATATATCAAAGCATTCATCATTACAATGTATTTAAAATACACGGTGGTCCGTGTAACAGTGAAACTCTTCAAGTACCGCCTTATATAGTTAATTATTCCACAATTAAAAGATTCTTATTTAATCTTCCACGGTAGTAGCATGGCATAATTGTACCATAATTGCTTTACAATTGGTAACAATGTAGCATGGTGCCTCGATGAGGCTTGAAGCTATTTACTTCCGATCGTAAAACGTGTATTGGAAAGTAATTATAGTCGTAGAACATTTTTAACATTGTCAATGCCATTTCGTCGGCTCAATAACCTGTGTGAAATAAAAGTATATTTACTTTTAATGGCTCCTTGCCAAAGCTTTAAAAATAAATATTTTTTTTTACTACTAAACTCTATTTAAATACATGGCATGCAAAATAATGTGAATTAGTCTGCTATCGACCATCTTTGCTATCGTGGTCTTTAAAAAGTTGATCGTTTTCATTTATCCTGCCTTGCATATTGTAATTAGAAAAATATAACTTAATTGATAATATTTAGTAGCTAACCTACTCGAATCGGAAGCCTAATCCGCCGTTAAGTATGATAAATGTCGCGGCTTTTGCTTCTAACTACTAGATGCCAGAGGCATTACTGTATCTAGACGATGCAACGATGGGTCAGTAAACGTTTAAGACGGGCTGAGGAAGGTTTTGAAGCGACGAAGCCTCGAAAACCACTAATAGACCGTGCACGATGACGTCATCGGGCGACCGTCTCAATTATATCAGAATCTAGCTCAGTGGCCGCGTGCCAGCCGGGGGATCTATCTAATATGCATACACGCCAGCCTCGAACCGGTGCGGCCCGTCGCCCAGCAGTCTGAAGGCGAACCTCTCGGCCAAATAAGGAAATTGCGCTGTCAACGCTTTTATATAACTAGTGGAGCCGTGCGAATTTTCGCAAACCCGTGATCACTAACTGAATATATTTATGTGCAAGGCATCTCTCATTTTGAAGAATTACGTTTTTTAGTCTACTTCTTTATCTTTCTTCTAAACAAATTGTCAATAGATGATAATATAATATATTCGTTATAAGAAGTTATTAAAGGAAAGTTTTTTTTATGAAAGCAATATCTTTGTTCTACTTGTCTATTTTGCGTCCACAGCGGCAGCCACAAGTCTTAAAAATGGTGTTTGTATTATTAAATTTGATGAAGAATTATGAAAGATATATAAAGATATACATATGATTTGTTTCAATAAAAATCAACCTCGAAAGTTTTTTCTTCAACCATTTGAATGTGGCGAAAAATATGTGTTTATGAAACGGGAGGGTTCCCCGCTTACACAAGTATTTATTGTACAGACTGAATTTGTGTTGCGTGAAGCACAGAGCGCTACGCGTATAATCTAATCAAGCGTAAACGGCTCGGTGTAATTCGGAATCTCTTTGCGGTCGCAGACAATAGATTAGTTGGGGTGATAGCAGATTGTATTCGTAACTACTTTTTGAAGTGAAATTGTTGGCTTTTACAGGAGAGTAGGTATCACCACTCTTATGTTCTTACGCGGGATAACGTCTTCTAACTATTGTTTCTGCTACGTTTTCTAACTATCGTTCTCATTCCTTTTAACTATCTGTATGGTTATAAGCTACCTCCTTTGCAAAGTTTTCTTAAAAACACACGAGGATACGTACACTTAGCATTTATATCTGCTTATTTATCTATAACAATAAACTAAATTACAGCAAAATACAGCAATATTACATAATGATTCCAAAATAAATTCCTTAAGCGAAAACTGCTATTTTACGATACCTTGACATAAATGACGGTTTTACAAGATTTTTTTTAATGTGAAAAGTTACCAAAAACGGTTCACCAGATGGTAAGTGAATACCGCCGCCTATGGACATCTGCTACACCCGAGGGTTACAGATGCGTTGACAACCTTTTGAAAATTGGGCTCCGGCTACCTTACTCAACAGACGAAACGCGAAAGTATTTGTCGTACTTCCACTTTACGCTGGTCTTCTGTGAGGTCGTGGTACTTACCTGGATGGGCCTGCCCCCCATTCGTGCAACAGCCGAGGCTGCTGCGTGGCCCTACCACCGAATTGTTTGTTCCGGCTAATCTCCGAAACGGCTGGACCAATTTTGACGGGACTTTCACTGGCAGATAGCTGATGTAATAAGGCGTAACTTTTTTTTACTACTTTTTTTATTTTAAATTCCACGCGGACGAAGTCGCGGGCACTATTAGTATTAGAATAATATGTTGTTTCGTGCGTGTATGTACGTTAATATTAGAAAAACATAAAGAATGAAAAACAGAAAGTATGAAGAAATGTATTTGAATTTTAACATGCATGATCGGCGTACTCGATTATTAAAAATCATAGTTTAACGTTATCTCGTTTATTTCTTCTTGTTCATTTTTAGAGCTTAGTTCAGTCTGACATTAAACAACCTATATTTAGTTTACACAATGCAAGATTCAAATCTGGCCGTCGATCGTTGAGCGTGATTTTTTCTTTTGTCTGGTTTTTGTATCAAACCAACATTTTACCATATTTTAGCCATATGAATATTTTTAAAAATAACTTGAATTATTCAAATCTTAAGTCTCAAGATAAATATCCCATTTTATTACAAAGGATCAGATCTAGAAAAAATGTAATATATAATATATGTAACATATTACCTACATATAAACACCCACACAAATTTGGGCCATTACTCAGAAGCCAGATACATCCTGTTCTGTCTACGTTTAAAGAGCTTATTAGATACTATATTATGATAAGGCAGCCATCATGTACTCGGAACAAGATAGAAAAGATAGAGTGATTAAAATAAAAATGAATAAACAACTTTTACCTCTTTATGCAGTTGGTTTAACTTTTATTTTATCGTCTATCATTTCATTTGTCACCAGATGCGGTCTCCATGCCGACTTCACGGAGTTGACGGCTTGCGTGGGCGGCGAGTTGGACCGCCACGAGGGGTCTGCTGTTCACAGGAGATACTTTTACATAACCTTGCTGCGGGAGCCGGTTGCCAGGTAATAAATATAAAATTAACAACCGATACAGATATGTTAACCCTTTTTTTGTTAACGCGGGGGACATGCCTACGCATACCCGCCCTCACGGGGGCAAGGATGGGTTATGTCGGACTCGCACCGACTAAAACCCCCACGATGATTCGCCAAGAGCGCATATCGGCAGAGCTACAGAAACGCTTTTGCACACTTCGGCGACCCTGCCATCTCTGGCTGCCTCAGCAGCCCCTCCTCGAGGAGTAAGGCATGCTGGAACATTCAACGCGCCTTCCTACTCGGCCCCTTTTTCACTGACACCGAACTACGCTGAGTTCGCTGACCAGAGGCCATGAAAGCCGGGGGAGCCAGTGTTACTCAGCAGCCAGGCTCCCAGTTCCCAGCGGCGGACCTGGTCTGTGGCTCCGCCGCTCAGCTCAAACTGGTGGATCACCTGATGTTAAGTGATAACCGCCGCCAATGGACATTTGAAAAATCCGTAGATGTGCTACCACCTTTTAAAAGTGGGCTCCGGCTACGTCACTCACCAGACGAAGCTCAGAAGTATAACACTTCCACTTCAGCCGGTCTTCTGTGAGGTCGTGGTTCTTACTTGGACAGACCTGGCCATTCGTGCAACAGCGAAGACTGTTTCGTGGCCCTACCATACCTAAGACATCTCTTTATATCAATGTATACGATTAAAGTAAATTCCCTTTTACGTGTAATCGAGAGTACGCTGAGCATATGAACATTCACAAATTTATTTACTTCTAACCCGCCACTATATATCCTTCCATAAGTCATCACATACACCATATATACTTAGAAGTAGTCATGAAAGCGTACTGTCTCTATTATTATATGTGATTGCGGAGTGTAAACGGAATAGGGGCTTATGACCTTTATGTGTTTACTCCCTGTATTTGTATAACACTTAATTGCACGAATACACTAATGTAATTACATGATTGCATGAATGCAAATGCATTAATTAATTAATGTAATTAAATGGTTATATTGTAAGTTTCTCAATACCAAATTGTCTAATCCAAAGCACCGCCTCATAAGTTGTAATACTTAACGTTTCGATCAAATTCAGATATCACTTTTAGTTGCCGTGGTTGTAATGAGCTACACAAACAAAAACCGCTATATCGGATATGATGGAGATTTTGGCCAGCCTGATCGAGGAACTGCCACATGACCTTGTAGGAATGCGAGTCTTTGGTTTTTAATGAGTGATGAGAGTGTGATACCTATACTCTTAATGGTAGATATAGACTGATATGTTTTTTTAGTCACTGGTATCTCCTATACTCTTAAAAGGCTCTAAAATATGTAAATAATTTAACAATCCTATTCTAATTTTGCATCTCTATTGGCCACGGCAATGGTAAAGCGTTAGGTGTACCATATTTTCATTTGCCCCAATTGCTCGTACCCCTACAAGTCCATTTTTATTAACGAAAAACAAAACCGTCTTCAAATATATCGCTCTGTATTCATTGTATTATTAATTCACAGGAGTTCCCTAATTATTTCCGGAGCCCAAGCTCCAAAATAATGAAATTAATCGGACCACATGGGAAGCACTAGCTTTCAAATAAAAAAAGAATCACCAAAATCGGTTCACTCAAATCAGTCGAATCGAGAACCTCCTCTTTTTTGAATTCGGTTGAAAATAGATGTTAATCGTTATTGGATATAGAAGTAAATTATTCATGTTAGTTCCTCGCAGCGAGGCCGCCTCGCACTAATGTCTCGGAAAACGCGGTTACCGCAGATTGTTTATTGCAACAACACTGAAGCTCGGATACTGTTTGTGTCAGGTACTTATCGGAGTATAGGCACGTGAAGCGTGGGGCCACGTGGAAAGGATCCCGTCACTGGTGTCAAGGGCGTACGGCCACCGGTATGTACCAACTGTATTACATGTTTATTGCAATAAAACTGGCAATTATTATTTTTTAACTGTTGTTATTATTTTCTATTATTATTATTATGTTTTGTTTTGAATTATTTTAATATTTTTTGTTAATCATATTCTGTTACTTAATGTCAGGCTGGGGTAGAATATCAGCGCTGTACACAATGTATGTTACAAAGCTCAACCCCAGACTTTTTTGTCTAAAATCTGACCAAAAAAATTTTATTATAATAATTTTATTACTGAGCCGTGATATATATATATATATTTTTTTTTTCGACGTTATGTGAAGTCCGCCAATCCGCAGTGGCGCCGTGTGGTGGACTATGCCCTCATACCCTCTGTAAAGACTGTTCTATACTGCACTGCTGGGCAAAGGCGGCAGGCAGCCTTTGCCCAGCAGTACGACATGTATAGGCTGTTACTTTATTTTACTTTTAATTTTATTACTTGTACATAATTTGTGATTATAGACCGATAAAGATCTATTACTATTATTTCCTTGCATATTCTGCCATGTTTAAGATATTTATTATATTAAATTTGAAACGAACGTTTCAGTCTCCAAATATAATCATACATGGTATATCTCCAAATATGTATTACATTAGGTGAGTGTTTAGGTTATCTCGTAGTTTTCGAAGAGTCGGTGATTTCGGTATCTCTCTAGATGATATTATGTCATAGTCTGCAAAGATAAATGCATAAATTTGTTAATTACTTTCCGTTACTTGAAAGCCTTTATCATTGTAAAAGCAACAGTAACTTTCAAATAATCTAAAAAATCTTTTAAGGAAATTTTTGTTTTTAGGTAGGTAATACGACCGAAACCAATATTTTCAAAGGGTCTTCTTTTAAACTCTTTTAAAACTGTGGAAATTGCAAACTAAACTGAAATTGCTAGTTCAATTAATTCTAACGAGCGTTGTGTTTAATTAATTGTCGTGTCGGCGCGTTGGAGAAAGCATTGCATCGTACGCACGATCAATGCTATTTCCAATTATACAACTACCCGCTTCATTAAAGCCCATTGTGAAAATGAAATTCTCGCCTATTCAATTCTCAACTCTATTGACTATTATGTGGAAAACTGGCAAGCGAGCAGCCGGTTAACTTGAATTTAAGTGATTACCACGGACCATGTACAGCTCCAACACCTGACGGGTTGCAAATGTGTACGCTGATCTTCTATGAGGCCGTAGTGCTTCCCTGGATGTGCCTGCCCATTCGTGTAACAGCCGTAGCTGCTGCGTTGCCTTAATACATATATATATATATGTTTAACTGTGGTAGGGCCACCCAGCAGCCTCGAGTGTTGCACGAATGGGCAGGGTCGTCCGGGTAAGTACCACGACGGTCTTCTGTGAGGTCGTGGTACTTCCTCGGACGTACCTGCCCATTCGTGCAACAGCGAAGACTGTTTGAAGCGTGGCCCTACCCAAGTAAAGCATAGTAGCCAGCCTTTTTCAGTCAAGAAACTAATAAAGACCTGAATGCTGGTTGGTGTTCATGTGTGTTTGATTGGTTACTTACACCTCGGATGATTCCAGCCTCCGAGGTGCCGCCTTGCTACACGGGCGAGTCCTGGCGCGGCGTGACCCTCGAGGAGTTCGCCGGATGCCCGTGGAACCTGGCGAACAACCGCCAAACGCGAATGCTCGCGGATCTCGCACTGGTGGGATGCTACAACGGTACACTCCGTCATCGGACGGCTGACACCGACAGGGTGCTGCTGGCATCCGCCAAGAGGAATCTCGCCGCAATGGCTTACTTCGGTCTCACCGAGTTCCAGAAGGTGAGTGCCGTTTGTACTGTGATCTTTCTGGTTGTATGGATCTAACGTACGTATCTCGTGGTATCGACTGCTAAATGCAATCACTACATAGTATAAAACAAAGTCGTCCCGCCGTCTGTCTGTCCCTATGTAGGTATGCTTAGATCTTTAAAACTACGCAACGGATCTTGATGCGGTTTTTTTTACTAGATAGATACTAGATACATAGGTTTATATGTATGATACATTGCACCCGTGGAAAGCCGGGGCGGGTCGCTAGTACTAAATAAACGTATCCAATTAGGTGACTTCATCTCTATTCCCGATTCGTTTTCTTTGTGTACAATTTTGTTTGACCTACCACGCACATTTGCTACTTAAAGTAAATTAAAATTATTTATCTATAGAAATTATTAGATGTAACAATCTGCGAAACCGAAATTCCTTGATGTACGATGCTAAGTTTCGAGCTTGCAATAGCCAGGTTTTATTATGTTAAATAATATAAACATAGAATTTCATCCAAAATTACAATGAATATAAATTTGAAATATAATTCTTGCAAGATTAAAAAAATCTATACGTCACGTGTCACGGGACGGACTGAGATTGAAAATTATTATTTTTAGTCCGATCATTCCAGCGATTACTAACGGTGCCTTGAAGTCTTTCAATGGTCTGAATTTGGCTGAATTATATGGGTAAATAAGAATAAGGTAATTGAGGGTGGATATAATTATGCTTGGGTCGATTTTAACACATCCTGCATTATATTTGATAGAGCGCTGCATAAATACTTTCACTTTCTTAATAAATCAAAATATTTTCATGGGACTGATAAGAAATAAAGGAAACGAGAAGGCACGAAATTTAATGAAAAATATGCATATTGTCTGATGAACATTCGGCGGAGTGGTGTTATAATGTTCATTTAAATTAAATACAAAATCTGATTGAGCTAGATATTTTTTCAAAACTACATATTGGAGAAATAATTGAAATATTTTTTTATAACATATACATATGAAGCCTGCAAATTCTCATTGGGATCGCTTGGCTTATACCTTGTCCTTTCCATTCACCTGTGTTCGTGGTCATATTAAACCTAAAAAACCACCACAAACTGTGCGAGGCAATAAATTTTTCCAAAATCAGCTAAACAGCCATCTCTGTTTTTATGTATCGCAAAACAACTGCCAAAATAAACGTTCAACGCTATCGTCTCGAACGTGACATATTGCTTCAGTTCAGTTCGTAAACGGTTGTGTAAACTGACCGGAGAGCGTAGCAACGCAAGCATTAATATGTAAAGTCTAGCCCGCTTGTAGGACGCCACGGTGCAACGACCTCGGAATATAGATAAGTGCCATTATTTGAGTTGTATGAGTACAATATTTATGCATATACAAAGTCCACACATCGCTGTTTATGTTAGCATTAAGGTGCACTAGTCATAAACAAAAATCTAGACCTACTCGTAACTTTCTCGATTGGTCTAAGGAATAATTAAAAAATTTATTTATAATAAATTTTTTAATTATTCCTTAGACCAATCGAGAAAGTTCTAAGGAATAATTAAAAAATTTATTATAAATAAATTTTTTAATTATTCCTTAAATTTTTAAATTAATATAAATAAAAAAAATATTAGGTACCAGTACTGGTACCTAATAAATTTTTCCTATTTACGAATTAATTTACACCAAATAGAATACATCTGTATCTATATATATTATTTTTGTATTGTGATAGTCTAAAGTAAATGACACAAAATTTACCATGTAATCTAAATATGTACGATATGTAAAATCTTCGTCGTAAACTCGGAAAAAACATTCTCTAACTGCCAACAAAAGCAGGAAAAGTAATGACCACCCAATTTCAAATTATATTTGAAAGGAACATTACACAACGCAGTGTTACCAGAAATACAAATTTCCGGGTTACCGGGTAGCTACAACATTGTTAGGTGGAAATCCTATTTGGCATCTGTTGTAGTAAACAAGACCCCGTTACCTCAAATTTCTTACGACGCCACAGGGTAGATTGCTTCGTCCTCCAATAGTACTCATAGCCTCTAGAACTGTTACAGAACCGGAATGAAATGTGAATTTTTGGTAATGTAATGTATGCGGGCATAAATCTCAGGTTTCCGAAAAAGATACCAACGATCTTCTCGTCGTGTTATTACACAATTTTTTTTATATGGTTGAACATATAAAAAATTGTGTAATAACATTTTCATAACACTGTTATTTTTATATTATAAATCCAAAAGTGTTTTGATTGCTCATCTATGGTCCTATTTGGTTTTGAAGGAAATAGGAATGGCTTATAGGGTATATTATCTTATTTTGTAAAAAAAACTCGGAAAATCAAAGTATCTATTTTAAAAAGAATTCGCTAGTTCCATTTGCATATAATTAAAAAACATTTCAAGCTTATACTTAATGCCGAAATATTTTTTTTAATTATTAGTCAATAAATCATAAGATATTTTACTTTCAAGATGTAACCAATGTATTTGAAGAGCGCATTAATAGTTTTCTTTAACTTAAACTAGTTCGATTAGAATGTACCCTGATGTTACCCGGCGATAGTATTGCACCACCCTACAATATAGCTTTGTTAACATCTTCCCGTTTAAAAGTTATTGGTAGTTAATAAAGTTTGAAACTGGCCCGTATGGCGGCGGAGTTTGATATTCGTGACAATTTGATGTCAAGTGACAACAAGCGTCCGGCCTGCCGAATATTCAGTAGAATTTGGTCTGTGCCAACAATCGTTTTGTAACAATTTCATATCACAGTTGTCCCACTATGTACTAAACCAATTTAAGTTACGGATGTCAGTATACGGATATGCCGTTTGTCACGCTTTATGTCATCTTACATTCAAACACAGCGAAGTCACTCGTTTATTGTGGTATTCTGCTTGAATATTTTATTATAGAAAGGTGGATGGATTATTAGCTATTAAAATTATGTCTGTTAGGCTTTTCATTTGTAACTGTGGTAGGGCCAGGCAACAATCTTCTTTGATGCAAGAGTGGGCAGGTCCGTCGGAGGAAATACCGACACCTCACAGAAGACCGGCGAGAAGCAGAAGTGTTACACTTTTGCGTTTGGTCTGGTGAGTGAGGTGACGGGGCCACTTTTGCAAACACATCTGCAACCCTCCGGGTGTTGCAATTGTTAATGGGCAGCGGCTATCACTTATGACAGGGTTCGTGGGTTCGATTCCCACACGGGACAAGTATTCATATGACCCACAGATAATTGTTTGTCCGTGTTGTCAATTTATGTTTGTAAAACGCTTTTACAATACAGGATAATGTTATCCTACAGTAAGGGCAACGTTTCTTTTAAAGAAAGAAAAGAAAAAAAACACGAGGTGAACCGCCAGCTCGCTTGCATGTTGCAATTTTAAATAGTCTCGATAAATTCCTAAAAGATAAGTTGCACAGTGCAGAGGATTATTCCTCTTTAAACATTTCAAACGTTAGCATGCAGCGTCAGGCGTTAAAAGAGAAAGGAAAGAAGAAGCCTGGACGCCTGGCATTAGTACCAGGCCTCCAGGCAATGATAGCCCACACATATCAATGTGTGGGCCATTATTGCACTCGTTCGGTTTCCCGCGCAGATATCTCAGTACGTGTTCGAGGAGACGTTCAACCTGCGCTTCGCGGTGCCGTTCACGCAGCACAACGCGACCGTTTCCGGGGCGACCCTGGCGGCCCTCTCGCCCGCTCAGGTCGCGCACATCAAGCGCCTGAACTCGCTCGACCTCGAGCTCTACGACTACGCGAAGAGCCTGATGCTCAAGAGGTTTGTACGTTGACTTAGTATATGTCGCTACGTCCTATTTTAGGGTTCTTCTTTTCCTTTGAAAGCGTGTGGCAAGGAAGCGAGCGGATCACCTAGTAATGGTCGTGATTGGTGCTGCCCGTGTGCACCGCAGTACTTTACCAATCTTTTGGAGGGTAGGCATCGGGTTAATTCAGTTACGAGTAAAGTAAAAGTGAAGTAAGAGTATGAATATGTTCCAATGCTGGGAAAAGGCCGCCTCTGTGCAAAGGGGATTGGCAGACATTTCGAAAATATGCAGGTTTCCTTAAGATGCCGAAAGCCTGTATATAAAAAGCAAAAGAAGAAACTTAATTATCCCAAACCGTGAGGATCTGATTTTGACCGTAATGAGTTTAAGACTGACAACTTTCAAAATATCACCATCTTGCAGCATGCATGGATATTTTTTTTTATGTGAAAAGTTGCCAAACGAGCAGACGATTCACCTGATCTTAAGTGAATACCTCCGCCCATGGACATCTGCTACACCCCAGGGTTCCAGATGCGTCGACAACCTTTTGAAAATTGGTAAAACTCCTCACTCACCAGACGAAACGCGAAAGTTTTATACTGGCACTTTACGCCGGTCTTCTGTGAGGTCGTGGTACTTACCCGGACGAGCCTGCCCATTCATGCAACAGCCGAGGCTGCTGTGTGGCTCCACCACTGTTAATCCTAATTTCTTTAACCTTAGCAAAGCCGGTCGGGTTCGCTGAAGTCAATTTTCGAAATCGAACATTATTCGTGTTCCATTCCGAGCTTTGTGTTGCACTCGCTACATCGAAGGCGTGTCCTTTCTAGGTTCGAAGCGTTAAAGAAACGCGACACAGACTTTGAGTTCCGCTGGAAGCACCTCGGCGAGGTGTCGCCTCGCAGTGGCGTCACCGAGTTCGACTGGGACAGCAACCTGGAAGACGCCACGACCGAAAAGTATCGAGGGAAGTAAGTTTATGGACATGTTGATGTTTGCAAGGTCGCATCTAGCGTAGAGGGCATCAAGGGAATGGATATCGCTGAGGATGTCGATGATATAACGGTCGACATCGGTGGTGTTTCGCTAAGTGATCGCATATAGTCTGATACAAAATAAACCTTCAGCCTTGTGTGTTTTCAATAAATTGGGTTAATTCTTTTTCACTATTTTTTTTGTATTTGGATTCGGCATAAAATCAGTGGAGTCGTACATTTGTAAAAGTTGTGATTTTAATGCGAGAGATATCCAGTTGTAAGTGCCGTGTATACATAATGCAATGAGTGGCAGCTTTAATATGATATCTGTTTAGCCATAGGACATTACAGTTACAGCGTTAGCTATGATCATGTTCCTTAGTTTCGTTTGATTTTAAATTAAATGTTTTGAAATTCATTCCAATTTACGTCCTTTGGTACTGGCGTTAATAAAAAAAAAAATATTTACTTTCAGGCATTTATTTACTATATGATCTGTGGGAGTTAGCAATGCATCATATACGCGGTTCTGTTTATACACGCGTTTAGATTCAGTCCGCTGAATAACCTATATTACGTACATATATTTGTTTTCCGATTGTTTTTTTTTCTTAAAACAATTGCCATATGTAGTTATCATATTAATTTTATCCATGATTATTACAATGTTTAAAACTAATTTGGCAATCATAGGCAAAAGTGTTACTCCCACACACAATAAAATGGCAGCAAACTCTAGTGATAGTTAATCATTGTTGTAAAAATACTCGAATTTAGTTTTTTTTAATAAGTTGTGTTATAAATCCATCCCTTTAATTGGTACTTTTGTTTATGAGGCCCCTGAAGTTCAATGTAATTAATTATCTTAGTTCATATCGTTGCTTTAAAGTTAAAGTTTGATAGATACAGGGTAGGTAACGCGTTCAGAATGAGCCCAACGAATTGTAATCATTTAAGAAATGGGTAGAGTTTATTTAGCGCGTTGCAATGTATAGAAATTCATTCAAAGTTTATATGAATGAGAAAAACCTGTTTACATTTAAATTATTTTATCTTTTCTCGTATCTTTCATTACATGTAATTTTCTGTTATGATAGTTAAATGAAACGGTAACTATTTTTAAAATATTAAAGTGTATAAATAAATAGTATATTTTTTGATTTAATAAAATGTCCTTGTTAATAGCGTTAACAATATATTCGAGTTAATTGCAGCTAACTATTCTAACGCTAACATTGGGACATCTATCGGATAATTAACACTACTTTCCACAAGGTTTTAAAACATAAGTAATTAAAAGTGGTAGAAACAATTTATTAGGTTTGAGATAGCATTATGTTCACATGCTGACTAAACTCAAATGATGCAACTTTTACCATTATATGTAAATATGCGTTAATATATTGCATTGATTGTAAATTTAATGACCTCAATGCTAATTAATCGCAATTTTGCTAATTAATCGCTATTCAGATGTCTATTATATTGTCAATTTAAGTATTATCCGTTTTGTGTTTCCTATATTAACGTTGTTAAAAATAATTCTCATTTTATTAACCAAAGAACAAATTCAAATGCTTTTGAAATCGGATATGCTTATTAAAACAATTTGTGTTGTAAGAACATATTTATCAATTGCTATTCCAAAATAGACTTTATTTGTAATGGCATATGTGTGCATTACGAAGAATTCTTTAACTAAACAGCATTTACTCATAGTTTGGTGCAACCCTATTTTATAAACTGTATAGTAAAATGTCGAGCCCTGTAAATTAATACTTATTAGGAGTGATGAACAGGATTTTGTGGACTTATTGACAAAAAAACTCTGCACTAAATGCATTTAGAATGGTGCATATATATTGAACTTTTATTTTCTGTATAGGTATACATTTACATACTCGACTCAAACTCAGAAAATATGCTTATCACTAGCTTTTTGTTACATTGGAGAGTGTATCTAGTTGAAATGTATGTTTCTTATTTGGATTGTCATTTTAAAAATAATATATTAATTTTGAACTGTATTACATTTATTAGAGGAATATTTTTAATTTAGTTATTAAATAAAACGTATTCTTTAGATAATTTATGTACAATACAAATGTTAATAGTAATCAGTAATGTAAGATGTTCGTTGCTCTACCTTTTATTGCATTACGTAATAAGGGATGAGATATCAATCGATATTTTTATGTGTAAGGTATCATATCTCTTTGGCCAATGCTGGGATCATTTAAAAGCATCAGCAAGAAAAATGTTTTTAAAACAAATTCAATATTGATAAGTTTAGTAGGAACAGATCAAACTTTTTTCACTACTTGATGTATCTACAATGATTTTTAGTTATAAAATCTAACCTGTTTTAGACAAACGTTACATTTTTTACGTTTATAAAATTACTGTTGGTTTTTATTGAAACACCATTGACTTATTCACAAATTAAAAGCCACAATTAACACTTGCGGCCAAAAGAACCTTTGTCGTGCTGCAAATGTCAATTTGACAGTAAAAAGCGCGCGCCGTTTGGCGCCATATTCAGTCACAGTAAAGAAGAATGGACGAAAATCTGTTGTATAGATTGCGAATTAAAATTAAAAAATTACTAAAATTTGTCATATATTTTGGTAAAGCAATTAGACTAGTTATTTTAACTGATGGAAAATGTATTAATAATTAATGGCTACTTACACATGTACATATTATGTCCGTGTCGCTACGTCCTGTGATAAAAGAGTATCTAATTTGATTCGATATTAACTTGAAATCAACATTACCTTTTTGTAAATAATGTATAGGTTGTATAAATGGCTAATATTATGAGGACAGCTATGAGTGCATGGGCCATATTAAAGTAAGGCATTTAGAGTTCCGAAGTTTTCTTGTGGTGGAATGATTATCGTAGAATAAGTTACGTTTAAGTTGATATCGTTTGTGTTGTATGGCAGCGTTGTTCTAGTACCAAAACCTAGCTTATAGATTTTTTTAAGTTTCCGACTGAACCAAATCATAGTAGTTATGTGTTGTGTTAATTGACACTGGTAAATAAAGCGAATGAAATATGCGTTTCGTTTTATTCCACACGTTCATTGGCGGTACATATTCCGCGCGCGTATACGTGCTTAACAGACATAATATTAAGAACCCAATTAACCTACTTCTATCAGGAAATGTCTGAAGTTCAATTGCATTATTTGAAATCGTAATTATCATTGTTCGTTCCTGGGTGCCCCGTGTGTTTAACCATTCACACGTTGAATGGACGATTGAATTTTGTTCCGAATTTTCCTTCCCTATATAAATATTTGGTGACTTTGAATTAATTATTTTCTTTAATCTCGTACGTAAAAAACTTTCGGGAAAAACAACATTTAAATATATTCGATCGATTTCTTGTAGAATATAATTGTATAGAAAATAATTTTCAAATTTCTTATTTCCGTAACATACACGTATTAAGCCCTATGTTATCTTTCAATCTGGATAGAATTACAAGTTAAAATTAATTTTGTTACGTTGCGTTAAATCTTAATGTACGTTATTGTTTTTTCAATAAGCATGGAAAGGTAGGAAACGTGTTTACTTTCGAAACCGGGTGAACGCACGGAGTGTTTTGTTATGTCCGATTCCGCTTTGGAAAATTTTTGCTTAGTTCGTTTTCTCAACCATGAGCCCAATCCACACATGGCGAGGAGTTCGAGGAGAAGTTTCAACTGTGGTAGAGCCACGCAACACTTCATTGTTGCACAAATGAGTAGGTCCGTCCAGGTAAGTCCCACGACCTCACAGAAGAGCGGCGTTAAGTGGAACTGTTATTCTGCGTTTCAATTGGTGAGTGAGGTAGCCGGGGCCTACTCTATTAGGTGGCAATGGGCGCCTTTTATCACTTAACATCAGATTAACCACCAGCTCGCTTGCCACGTTCTCCCATAAAAAGTTAAGTTTCATAACATTCGAATTACTCTACACCTTTTTATAGAATTAAATGATTCAGCTTAAGAAACGGAGCAGCAGCCTTCAAATAGTGATGGATAATAATGTTGTTAAATTGGAAAGTTAAATGATAAATTGGAAACGTAGGACGGTGGGTATCGTTTAAACGTGTTGTATAACAGTAGAAACTCGGGTATTATGAGTCAGGTGATCACTTCTGATGAAAAGTGGAAATCACGAAACATATATTTTATAAGATATGTTTCGTGACCTGATTATGTTCCATTCATCCACTGGCACTTGAAACTGCGACCGGCAATAAAAATTAATGACACACCATATATTTGAATTTTTTATATCTATATGTCCATTAGTATGACTAAGTATATATACTGAATGTTAAAGTACTCAGAATTGCGATTTTGCAAAAAAAAATTAAACAAATTTTATTTCAGTATTAAATCGGTTACGCATCACAGTTAAACAGAAGAAGTTGAAACTAAAGGTTTGTTAATTTCGAAGTCCAAAAATATGTCTTATACAGTTCTTATGAAAGTAATCCTAGTTGGATTACTAAGATTTTTTTTTATGTGAAAAGTTGCCAAACGAGCAGACTGTTCACCTGATGTTAAGTGAATACCGCCGCCCATAGACATCTGCTATACCCGAGGGTTTGCAGATGCGCTGACAACCTTTTTGGAAATTGGGCTCCGGCTACCTCACTCACCAGACGAAACGCGAAAGTATTTGTCATACCTCCACTTTACGCTGGTCTTCTGTGAGGTCGTGGTACTTACCCGGAGGTGCCTGCCCATTCGGGCAACAGCCGAGGCTGCTGCGTGGCTCTACCACCGTTAATCCGTGTTCCGGTCTGAGTAACTCTGTAAGCTGATTGAAATAAAACTCAAATATAATATGCACACTTGTTTGCTTATGTTTTTAAATTTTTAATTCAAAAGAAATCGAAGAAATTAAGCGATGAATGGCGAACTTTTGCAAGAAACATCGATAAAGTTTTGAAACAATTCTACGATATATTTAAATATGCATACAAATTTGAAA